ATAAAAATACTTAAACATGTAAATTTATATATTTTATTAATATATGTAGAATCTTTCACGATAATCTACAGAAAAGGATACGACCGAGAAATCTGTGGATCGAAAGTCTCAGAACAAAATTTCATAATCTCAAGGGTCTCAGTTGCAAAAGATTTCGGCGATGTAGAAACATAGAAATATGATGATCCCAGAAAACGAGCTACGACAATACAATTTCGGAAGAAAATCCAAAAATGGTATCAATGAGACTTTAAGATTTAAATCTTATAAGCTTTAAGTCTTAAGGCGTGTAAGAAATTGATCAATCAACAGTCAATATAATTGGTCAATTTCTTCCAATTTAAAACTTAAAGCTTATAAATTTTACGTTTTTTAAATTTAACTCTCATTGTAAACGTCGCTTAAGACGTTAAAGATTACAACATGTATTATAGTTTTCCCAATTATTTACGTTCCGATAAATGAATTGTGACTTAAAAAACTTGAAAAAATATTCAGTCAAAGCAAAATTTTTTCAGGAAAATATATCGTTTTACTAATAATAACTAATAAAGTTTCTTCTCAAGAATAAACATTCGGAGAAGCCCGAGCATTTTTCTCTCTGTCTCTCTCTCTCTCTCTCTGTGTATGTGTGTGTGATTCGTTAGTTCCATTCCATTTAGTAATTTGACAATCGTAACGAGCCATCAGTAAAGCATTCTCTAGACGTGGGTGACCCTTATTGTCGTCGCGAGAAGATCCAGACCGGATCTGAATCGTTGGATTTTACGAGCGGAAAGTGAATTTTGCGCCCGGAACATCCGGCGAGGCGAAGCGCGACGCGTCGTTAATCGCGCGTGGAGCGAAGCGTGGTTTACAGCTTCGTATATGGTAACACCAACCGTAGTCGCTTACCCCGAAGCGAAACATCGAGGGAACATGTACGGACATGCGCAGGATAATGACGGGCGTTTGCAAGATCCGAATCGAAAGTTTACAGCCGCGAAATATTTTCTACAACGACACTTTCCTCGATCTCTCGATAAGCAAAAACTGTAACTCTCACTTTCGATCTGGATGGCGGCACGGCAATCTTCGGAGAATTACAAAGCTACAAGGGTCAGTCTCACTATGATTAACTTAATCGGCTGATTCAATATTGCCAACTGCAAAATTGAAAACACAACTTTCTATAGCAGCTGCGTGAAGAACGACATGTAACATTAAAATAATTAAAACAATTAATTTTATGTACTTTGTTATTATACATACACATGCGACAATAATAATGATTAAATAGTCCTTAACTTTTCACCATGCCAGAACATTTTTCCAGTTTTGCAATTGGCAGTACTTGCAATTTAATAGGCCGATCAAATTAATCGAAGTTGGTGAGACTAGCCCGTAAAGAACTATCAAAAGAGACTGTAAAACTTTATCTGATTGTAAGTATCTCTGTCCATTCTAATTTTATGGTAAATTCACATTACATTGGATTAATACACATTAAAGAGATTCCTTTTAATTAAATATCGTATTAAAGCTCCTTGCAATAAATCTATAAAATGGGCAGATAAACGATAACGTTCTGTTAATCTCTTAATCGCGATACTTGGCAAAATTTAGATCGTAAAAAGACTCGTGTGGAAAAATAATGCAATCATAAGCATGGAAAATACGCGATGATAAACAACGATGCAAAATCATCAAACAAGTTCTTATATTAGCTTATTAAAATAAATTAGCTTCCTTCGTTAAATGAACTTGGTTTAATCGTGTATTTTGTGGAGACTTTAAACTCGAGTGAAACCGTGCGGTGGTCAAAGTCGTAACAATTAAAGCCATAATCGCGGTTACGGTATAATCGCTAATTATTCATTAACAATTAAAATCTAATTACGAAACTATCAGCAGCGATAATTACGGTTATCCTTGAATCCTGCGTGCAGGAGAAAGATTATTAAACCCATCATGAGCAACGCGGTCACTCATGCTTTTGATCGCTTTACAGACTTATTATGTATAGTCTGACCGCCGCGGATTAAATCGAAGATGACATAATGATCTAATAATTCGCGACGCGGTACAGACCTGCGATATTCCGTTGTATCCCTATTCACTTCCTTCTTCCTACTTTCACCGCTGAGCTTACCTAACTTTATCATCGCTACACGTAATTGATTTCCAAGTTAAATAAAAACTGCGTAGAAAAACGAACTTACAACAATAAAAGCGTTGCTAATTAACGCATGCGTCACTTTAAAGTTAACATAATAAGCCCTTTAACGACGAATAAAAGATAAAGGTAAAAAATATATATATCTAAACAAAAGCCATTATTTTGTTATAAAATAAAATAATGATTGCTTTTTTTTAGATATTTTCTTAACTATTTTTATGTTTCATTTTCGTTAGTTTTTTTTGTGAATAATTATTATGTCAATTTTAAAGCGTTTATATTTAATTCAACATAATTTCCCTGCGTTAATTAATTTTATTTTGTTATAAAAGCTGAATAAAAATCTCAAATTTAGAATTAAATAGTAAGGGATATGTTACGCGCGCGAATCACAAAATCAGAAAAATTATTTGAGCAATTTATATTGTTCGAAAATTAGATGAAGCTTGTTGGTAATAAATGAGAACGGTACGCGATAAGAAAATTATACACTGCGGGGTCATTCAAATTTCGGACGTGCGAAGGGATTAGACCGAGAGGAGCCGGGGACCTGCATGAGGATGACGTGGTGGATCTCGAATTAACGAGTCGTGTGTGTAGAGTGGCGAGGCGGGCGAAAGGGATGAGACGCGCGTAAGCCAGCTCGGGACGTAATTTTCAGGCAGATGTGCGGCTGCGGAAGGGAGATCATTGCACTGGCAAGGAGCAGCTGAAGTAGCGTGAGAAAATGCAGCCGATCATCGTCGTCGCGTCGTTGGAGGCGCACACGGTGCTCATCCGCTCGTATACTCTCGTCCGGGATGATAGTGACCGAAGGGCAAAGTCAGGGCCGTCGCAATCTCGCGCCGGGGACGTGTGATATGTATGTTACGTTACGAGAAAAAAACATGCTTTCTGCTTCACGGCATCTCGAGAATTATCGAGAATTATCCTCGAGAATTATACTGTTCTATGTTACTCTTATCCTGGTGCTACATAGGTGGCATTTTGCATTGTATCATATCTGAACTTTAGGTGTGGTATGCATTGCTAACTTTACACATTTATATAATTGATAAACTATTATAGCCTCGGTATTTTGGTATTAATAGTAAGATTTTCATTGCAAAATGATCTCAGGAATCCACTCTTAAGTGTTATTAGGGACGTATATCCTCTATACAGAGACACGAGCTACTTCCTGTCGAGCTACTTTGTGCCCTAAATAGTAATCTCAGGAGGTTAGAAGTACGACAAGATAATTTGTATTTCAGTTTTTGAACATGGTTGGAGACACTACCGCGTCTCCTTAAACAGATTAACGCAGTATTAACACGCATCTGTCTGTGACACATTTGACTTCGCGGTTTCTGGAGCAGTGCGATTACAATCAAAGAGACATTTTTTTGGAAAGCTTAATAAATTAGTGATTTTTTAAAAATACTTTTTGTTATTATCACAAAATTAAATATTAATGACGTTTATTATAAAGGGCTCGCGATATCGTCATACGTTAGAAATACAAAACAAAGATAGAGATATATTTTTAATTTTTAACTTTTACTTTTTTAAACAAATTGAAATTGAATTAAGATTCAAAAAGAGATGAATATGATAAAAATAAAAATGTGTGATTTAATTTACATTATTTACAAGAACTGGACGAATATATTTGAAAGTAAGGATTAAATCCACGAGTACGTATTGCGAGCAGCGCAATTACTGATGAAAATATATAGCTGTAGTTTTTGTGAAAACATATCGAACGCGATACAATTAGATACACACATGTCTCATAAGCGGTAATAAATACGCCAATATATGGCGCGCTTGATTTGCGAGTGGAAAACCGTGTAGTTAATTATAATATAGTGAATTATAATATATAATAACAGAGTTGTAAAAACCGAGAGCTGTAAATTTCCAGAAGTGCAAAACGTCCTGAACATTAGAATCCAATTAGAACAATAATTAGTGATATATAAACATCACGTTTCTCCTCTAAATAAAATCGCATGTATTTTTTATGTATGTAGTTCCGTACACTATTAAGACTACTTTTAGAAATAAAGAGAGACAGAAAGAGAGGGGAAACATTAGTTTCACGAAGTACTTAACATTGACATAAAACCAGTGTAGAGTCGGCGATAAACTATGTGTGTTAAATTGTGAAAGTTATCGTTTAGACTTAAGTGACTAAATAAAAGCAAGCACAGTAGTTTAAAAACAAAACTTCATTACTTATCGTTCGTCATAAAAAAAATTACTAGCTACATATTAATAAATAAGTTAAAGATAATTCGCATTTTGCTCGCATTTATTCCTAATTCAAATAACGATTAATTCCTAATAATTATTTACTGCAAACTGTTGATGAATAAAAATCTTCCAGATAAATTCGCAGTAACAATTAAAATAAATTCAACAGTATCATTTTATTAATCTTTTTACAGAACTGGAAAGCGACTATAGCGCGCGCGGCACTGAAAATGTTTCGTATACCTCTATATCTTAAGATTACAATAATGAAATAATAAATTGTAACAAATCTTATTCGAAGAAGAGTTGTTATAGAGAAAAGTTGTTTTTAAAAACAGACCTAGCTCTCTAATAAATAGATTAAAGTTTGAAAGAGAAAGTCGAAAAACTTTCGTACAGTCCTGAATTGTCTCATTAACGATTCCTTTGTATGCTGGGAGATTTCGTCAATGAAACTAAGGTACCGTTGAACGTATCGAATGAATCTAATCTAGTCGCGTACGGTCGTCATCGTTGATTGCGTGCGTCTCTTTACGACGGATGAATGAGAAAGAAAAAAAGTGCAGAGACGGGAAGACAGAGAAAATTATTTCGAGTGACTCACCGTTTGTCAAACCGTCGACGTCGTCCGAGTCGCACTTGAGACCGTTAGTAATCACCTGAAACACATACGTAAACTTGATTAACGGCAGCTTATGATTAGGATGAAGTTAACGTACAGAATCCAAGGGAAGAGATTGTCTAATGAATTGTTTAGTTCATTTGTACGTCTTTTACGTGAAAAATGATGACAAATTATGATCTATGGTAATTAACAGATAAGCTTGTAATTTCATCGACATTTTATAATTAATCATCTAATTAATTTCTGAAATTATATATATATATATATATATATTACAGCTGTCCATTAAATTTTCGCATTTCTCTCTAGCTATCTAGCAGTCTTTAATTTGTTAATTTCCATGACGATGCGTCATAACATGCCGTTTTTTTCTGAATTATTAAATTACTCATATCATCTCATAAATTATTACATAATTAATCTGTATACGGTTTTGTTGAAATATCTAAAAATTTAACTCTGAAAATAGTTTTATTTGAATCAAAATAATTATGTAGAACGCTCAAACTAATTGATAGAATGTTAAAACTTGTTACAACATTGTTATCAACGCTTGACAGAATTATCTAATAAAACTATACCATATTTTCAAGTCTGTAATTATACAGTTTCATTTTTAGCAAAACTGTTCTTTGCTTGTATAGTATTATAAATTACTAAAGAACCACGTTCACATAATATGTATTATAATCATTTAACTTTTAGTAATGTTTAATTCACGAGTCTACTTCTCTTATAAAAATCTAATACTTTCCAATTTAATAATATAGCCAATTTATTACTGAAAGATTTTTGTTTCGAAACGCAATCAACAAAACACTACTTTTCCTGCACTTTCGTGCAATAGGTAAGTATAACTGCGCTCGAAGAGGCGAGGAAAGTCATATTCGCGCGGGCGGCTTCCTGTCGTCATCGTTATATAGATGATGATTTCACTGAGATATCGCTCTTACTTGGCCGTACGCCAGCAGGATTCAATTACAATTGCGATCGCGACTGCAGCCGGGCTTTTGCAAAACGATATTGCCGTACGTTTCCACGGACTCGTGTAAAATCGGATAAAGCCTGCACCGGCTAGTATCTCAGAGATGATGACTAGTAATTGCAGCGGTTTTCCATCCGGCATGCAGACGACGTTCACCGATACACAAGCGGTCGTCTATCATAATCACTAAGAATATATAAACATGACGAAAATCAAGTATTACGCATGGGAAACGCATGTTAATCGCGCTGAGATCAACCATCAAGCATATGCTAATGACATGGAATTAGTTATTCGTCTTGCGATGTAACGCGAGAGATACCTACAATCCTGGGAAAGCCGTTCTAATCCCTAAACGCGCAATTTGTTTCCGCTATCCACACGAGAAAATCCTGTCGAGTTTCATGTAGGTCTTGCAACATGAAAGAAATAATGGAGAAAATATCTCTTACTGACTGATACATCAAGCACAGATATATTGTGGAAGGATTATAATTATCTTTACAAAAAATTGATTTACAAAAAAGAAAGATATTTAACACAGCTTTAAAACATCTTTATCGTGTGCACAAACAGTACGATTTTGCTGAAATATCTGAAAATTTAGCTAGATTTGAAAATATAATTAGATGGTTACGTTCGTTCGAATGTCGTTCGAATGTGCGAGAATTTTAAACATCGTAATGAAATTCTCACAAAAATATAACAATTTTTTATCCTTTTATATTTATTAAAAATTGATATCTCCTATGCATTCATTATAGGATTAAAGAAATAAAAGATCTGTCGATGCAGAATGCGTGAGAAGCAGTTTCACTTTCGTATAACTGGTTATGGAACACAATGATTACTACGGGTCCACGAAAAGAGTCATCGTATCGAGCTCCGTCCGATAAGTAAATGAAAACATCAATTTATATATACATATACAATGATGCCTGAACATCAGGACCAATGCTGAAGAATCGTAGTTATCATTACATAACAGCTTCCGCCCTTGATTTCGGCCGCTGTTGATTTCGACCGCCTTTTTCGAATGCGTAAATGGAAAAAAAAATCAAGCAATAACAAGCGTTTGCAGCGTTATATTTTGCCATGTATCGATGATTGTTTACAAAATATTTAAAATGATAAATTTTATATCGATTTATATATATATGACGATATATTAATATGAGTTTATTTATTTCAATGTATAAGTAATTCAAAATTTCTTATTCACATTAAACATTATAGTATTAAATATATTTCAGGCAAATCTATGATTGGTTTTATGTCATAATTCAAAATAGAATTTAATTTACAGTTTCATACGTTTTGTATTCTATAATATACATATACGCATATATTTTGACTCCTCAAATGTTTCTCGTCTTATACCTAGTCTATACACAGAATTATAAACAGAATTCTATCACTAATTACAAAAAAAAAATTATCTAAAACGAGCATTAATCAGCGGAATTTCTCGTTGAAAGCTCGAAAAGACGATACAAAGAGAAGATTGCAATAACACTGGTCGTATAAATCTCAATTATAGAATGCTTCTTTCACCATTCATATGCAAAGTTACTGAAACTAATAGTACAAAGCCAAGGTGCATGCAAGTAACAGAATTGTAAAAAAGCACACACGTGCAGCTTTAGTCATTTTACTGCGAAAAAACCTGATTTTTCACACTATTTTTCCCATACTGCTTTAACTTCTTCAGGGACATTGGCATATAATTGTCGTGTTGATAAAAGTGAGACGAGTCAAAAATTAGCATTAGAATTGGAGTGTTCAAATTTTAAAAAGCCACGACGATATATATAGTTTTAAAGAATATATATAATTGAAAGTATATAACATATACTAGAGAAAGAAAATGAAATTGTACATATTTACTATTTCAATTGAATATACAAATTTAAAAAATGCTCTCTAGTAAAGAGTAAAATGTTGCTAATTTTTAGATGTGTCACTTTTCTATCAACGCAGTAATATGTCTATATACTTGCTTAACTATTTTTTAATTTTAATAACGCAAACAAAAAATTAACTACATTATAATTAACTACAATGATGCAATATTCTTAAATCTTTTCATTCCGTTTTTCTTCGTTTAATTTTACTGAGGAGTTAAAAATAAAATAAAATAAAATAAGTATGATTAAAGAAAAGATTAAAAATATTATGTTTTTGTAATTTTAGAAACTCGTCTGTAAGAAGGCTAATTGTATGCGCATTAAAACAACGAGATGTGTAAGCTACAATATTCGATCTCTATTGATTATCTAGCGATAGATGCTCGTATTTATACGAGGCGATCGGCACACGATAGGTGTTTCTTGCATTATCGCAGTGAGGACTATACGAAAATCATCATTTTAATCTGCGAAAGCTGCCAGGTGAAAGAATCGGGTCGCTTAACGAATACTGATTTAGACGCGAGAAAGAAGCAAACTGTGCCCGTCGAGAGTCAAGGAAAATCGGCTTTGCGTCGTGATTTGCACACAGTTCGACGTTTCTCCTCTTGGCTAAAACGAAACCACCTTACCATCGTATATAGACCGTAAGCAATTTTGCGGAGCATCCATCTACCCAAGGTATTGTATGTAACTTGCCGCGGCGAAAGAATATCTACTTGTATATAGCCGCTAATTGTATCCTCTCGCACGCGTTCAACCGCACGCGCTGAAAAAAGTGTTTGGGTTTTCGCCCTCGCCTCGTTGTTTGTCGACGGTGCTCGCGCGTTGTTTAGACCGCATGTGTTTACATAAACGAGTCGAGACTCACTCGGATTCGGTAGGGGACCCACGCCACCGACCCATGCCCGGTGTTCTCCGGAAGGAAGTGGAAGGTATTAATATTTCTCGCACGACACCAACAGTACACGTACGGCGGGGGGAGTGGCAATTGTCGGCGATGGTTTACTCAATCTACTTGCATTTGCGTCGCGGCGGGGAGAAAACACAAAGCCCAGCTCCCTGCTGCAGCTGACCGAATTTCTTTGAAGGGATCGGCCATTCGCGCGGTGCGGGAAAAAAGACTTAATTATTAAAACAATTCCAAGAAAAGAGAAGGATAAAGACAGAAATAGAGAACTTTGTTAATGCATGTGGGAAACTTAACATTCGTATATCGTATACGTATTCTACATTTCAGTCGTGATAGCGTAAGAAAACGCTGAAAGAGTTGAACGAAAGCAAAACTTATGCATGGAATTCAATTTCATTAATGATTCTAAATGATATGAAATTAATAAAAAAATTCTTGATAGAAATTATTTTAACTACATATATGCATAAATAATATAAAATTTAGTATTTATATAAGTTATTTTTTCAAGTATTAAAAAAAAGATGTTTTTTTATATTTACCATCATTGCTTCATCGATTAATATTAATACATATTATATCATTAACAGCTGTAAACTTTTATATAAAAAATTGATATTGAATATTAAGATAAAAATTGACAATTATAAACGTAATACATGTATATAGACTGTACGTATTCTTTAATTATAATTTTTGTGCTCTGCTAGAGAAAAAATTGAATATAACTTTCAATTTTATCAGCACGCCTCTTAAATTTGATAATTTAGGAAAAAAGAGAAAGAACGATATTCAAGTTATCCCATTCTAGAAACCGATAGTGACAATAGGAATGCACGTTCTAATCTTACTACGTTTATATAGATTTCGATTAGGTATATCCATCCTCCGATACTTTGCTCACATCTGATTATTCATGAATAAAGGGTTGACATAATGTATGTGCATTTTCTTCGCATTGCTTATCTATACAGGTATATACAGCTTGGTTAAATGATACCTTATTATAATTATTATTTAAAGTTTTATCTTTTATTTCTCAAGAACCTTTTAAATTTATGTATAATATGCCGATAACCAAATAGGTAACAATGCAGATAAAAGAACTGCAGATGAATGGAAAAAATATAAACGTCTAATAGTCTTTTAACCAAGATTATAGTACATCCGAATTATACGCATTCCATCGTTACAACGCATCCGCTTGTTTCATTCAATGAGGCGCGCGT